TGAAACGGTTGAAGGAAGTGACTTTTAGGGTCCTTTCCAGCCCGAACATCTTGTGATTCAGGAAGTCTGAGAGGCACACAAGAGGAGGAAAGGAACTCACCCCGGGATATACCAGACAGATGGTTCTGAGACCAGAGTTCCTGGAAGACGCGTAGATTCCACACCAATAGAACCCCCAGTCCTTTGCCCTGAGTTCAGCCATGATGAAGAAGCCCAAGCTGAGGTCATCCTGGCGAGAGAATCAAAGCTACTGGGGCTTGTCCAGAGCCTGGAATGGTGGCTGATACAGTGCAACTCTGTGCTGCTATTTCCCTGCGTGGGTTTTCATCTTTAAGCCTTGCTGGGGTGGATACCAGCATCTCACGGAGTTGTCCCGTCCTCTAGTTTACACAGAAACTCTGGCTTCTGTTCCCAGGATCCTGAGAATAAACCCTCAGGTCAGGGAGCCCCGCCAACTGCCACTGCAGGGCTGTGAGATGAGGGCTTCCCCCCTGCAGGGAGCCACCCTCTTTGTGTCTACACTCAGAATGAGCCCCAGAGCCGGCCTCTGGCCAGAGTGCCACCCTGTCCCTGCCCTCTCCTCCCCAGAGCCCCCTTCATACCTATCTCACTTAGCCATCTCCCCCTCCTCTTGCCCTCCTTGCCTGCCCCTCATCTGAGGCCAAGAGCACCAACAGGACAGGTGGCAGCAGATATGTGGCCTCCCAGGCCATGGGCCCTCTTCTTGAGTTGGGATGGGGGGAGGAAAGCAAGGGAGCAGGGAAGCCCCTGAGGAGAGAAACCCAGAGCCAGTGGGATTCAACCCATCCACCAAAGCCTGCCTGGAGAAGAGGGGGAGACCTTGGCCTATAGGTGGGACCCTCAGCTGCAGGTGCTACATCTGAGACTAGATCGAGGCTCCAGGGGACTGTGGCTCTCTTGTGCCCGGCCTCTTCCCCGTCAGCCTGTCTCCCTCCCTCTCGGGTGGAGAAAGCCATAAAAGCCCAGGAGGAAACCATGGTGAAATTGTAATACAGAAGAACAAATCTGACTCCATATCGGATCTGCTTCTTGTATTTTCACCTTTGTATTCTATTGCTTGGAGTTAAGAATGTTGTCTATAGCCTGGAATATACATAATAGCCCGTTCTCAAGGCTCTGACCTTTAAAGGTATAACACTTTTCCATTCATATAGAGATCCAAAGTTGCACAACAGAGAACCACATTTGTCTTGTTGGAGATTTACAGGAACATGGTGACCTGACCTGTGTGGACAACTACAAGAACAAAGGATTATCACATCCCCTCCAGGGTCTGGCTGGCACCAAGAAGTTTGCAGCCACCAGCCACACCCCCTCCCCTTTTAGTATAAAGCGAGCCTGAATTCTAACTCGGTTAGGATGGTTCTTCGAGTCACTAGTCCACCATCTTCTCTGTCTGCTGGCTTTCCAAATGAAATCGCTATTCCTTGCCCCAAGAACTTGTCTCTCCATGGATTGGCCTGTCGTGTGGCCAGAAGTACGAGCCTGGACTTGGTAACAAATTAAGAACCTATCTTTCCTCCTTCCTTCTCCCTTCTCTCCTACCACTTGCTCCCAAGCCTCAACTTTCTCCTCCCCACCGAAGAAAAGCAGGGGCTGAAGGTGAATGACAGAGTTAGGGGACACTTCCAAGGTCCCCAGGGGTCAGAGACTTCCCGCCCAGGCCTGCCTGGGAATTGGGAAGTTCCGTGGGGACTGAGGGAAGAGGGGAAGGGAGATGGAGAGTCATTTCCAGGAATGGAGGTGCAGGGAGGGTCCCTGGCAAGGGTGGGAGAGAACAAAGCTGGGGGCAGGAACATCAGAGGGGACGGGAAGGGGGAGATGGGTGCAGAAGGAGGGGGAGGGAGAGAGGAGGAAAAAGGATCTCTGCCCCTCAGGTCATCCCTGTGCCCCAGCTCCCAGCCTGCCGTAGTCACTCCATAGTTTTTGTTGAAAGGCCACACTAATCAAACACATTTTTTTAAATTGTGTTTATATGAGCTACAGAAAAACAATTGTCACAGGCCGTTTTTGGTTAATAGAGAAACAACAAAGAAAAGAGACAACCCTGTAAACAAGCAGAGGGGCAGATTGGGCTTGTGGGTAGCAGACTCTGAGGCAGCGATTAGCACCAGGAAGTTTAAAGTGCTCGGGGACCAGGCTGGGGAAGAGGAGGGCAGGGGAAGCAGGACAGGCAGGAGAAGTCAGGCTGCCCTTGGGCCACAGGAAGCTCAGGTCACTTTGGGAGCCATTCTGGAGATGGGATGCCCTTCAGAACTTGCCAAGGTAGCAGGGGGTGCCGGGGCTTCAGACCCCCTGCGTCAATCGGTGGGGGTAGGGGGGCTGCCCTGGGAAGGGTCTGCCCCAGGCGTGAGGCTGCCTTCCGCCCTCACTACTCCCAGCACAGGGGCAAGAAGCCCATCAGCCCGAAGGAGGAGCCGGGCTGCACAGAGCGGCGTCCACCCACGCAGGGTGATGCAGAGTGAAAAGCACATTTGCAGCCATTGGGACTGTGAACCTCAGGCTTGCCTGCTGGCCTCACAGCAAGAACACGTGTGTCCTGTGGGATCAGATCAGGGCTCGCAGAGTGAACATCCCGTGGGTGCTGGGCTTCCTGTATTTGTTCCTTCCCTTGGCCACGACAGGAAGCCCTTCGCAGGTATGTCCCGTAGTCTCAGTCCATTGCATTGTTCAGGAAGACTCCTCGTCTCGTCCACCAAAGGCAATAGCAGCCCTGGCCTGATACCCACCCCTGCCCTGCACCTGCCCGCCCTTGATCTGCTGGGGATCTGGGTACCCCTGGAGCTCTGGGGAGAAGGGCAAACAGAAGGAGGATGTAAGGGGCCAGGGTTTGGGTAAAATGTCCTGGAGCCTGGAGGTCCAAAGAGGCCACCCTGGCCCATAAGAGCTGGGAAGCTGGGTACGGAGTCTGCACCTCCTTCTCAGCACCCTGTGTCCTTCCTTACCATGGATTCACATGGGAGCGGGCTCCACGGGCGGGAGGTGTGCCTGGTTCCAGGAGCTCCGCATCCTGGGCAAATAAGGATGGTCGGTCCACCTAACAGCTACCCAGCATGACATCAGGTAACAAAGGCCTCTGCCTGGGCCCAGACCCACCTCCTGGGACCAGACCATGTCCCCCTACACCCTCCCTAGCCCCTTAGCATCAAGTACAAAACAGAGAAATGTGATCCGATGGTTTTAAAAGTAGAATGTGACAAGCATCAGACCTGGAAAAGAACTGGAGGACCAAAGCAGCATGAGGCTTTTCCTCAGTGTATGAGGTTCACGTTAATTCACTTTATCCTGAAAACAGTCTCGAGACGCAGGAATTAGTGTCCCCTTTCACAAGAGAGGAAAAATGAGGCCCCATCTGGTTAGTGACTTGCACAGGGTCCCACAGTGACAGGTGGCATCCCTGGGTCCCAGTCCTGAGCCTCTGCACCCACCAACATCCCGCTGTCAGCCGGCACGGGCCGTCAGCGTGTGGTTTTAGGGTGGAGAATAAACACCGTCCTAGTTACACACCAGGATCAGGAGGACGGTTATCACCGTGTGTGTGTGTGTGTGTGTCCTGGCACCAGGTCTGTCAGTTCCTCAGTCTGAGTCTCCCCTCTAGTGCCTTCTCCCCGCCTCCCTGCTGTCCCCCAGGATTGCCCCCTGCCCCTTCCTCCCTCCCCACTTCCATCCTGGAGTGGCACCTGCAGGCTGGCTGCCCACCAAGGCCCCAGCTGTGTCACTCCCTTGAAGTATGACATTTGATCTCCCACCTGGGAGGTCTGTGTCCCAAGGCCAAGGGTGGGGAGGCCACATCTCCCCCCAGTCTCTCATTCCAGTGGCTCCAGGCTGGTGGATACCCCTCCCCAGGGGAGGAATGCAGTCCATATTCTTCAGCCTTTGCCACAGAAGAAGCCAACTCTGAGGCACGAGCCAGTGAATCAGGGGCAGACGCCCCCGGCCATTGGGCCCCTCCCGGCCCGGGCAGTCCTCCAGGCTGTGGTCAGCTCTGAGTTGTCTTTGCTGTGTCACCAGTGGGTCCTCTCTTCCCAGGGGACAGTGAGTCCCCAGAGGGAAGGTGAGCCCCCTTTCTCTGAGCCATGGCCTCCTCTCCGGTGGACTCTCAAGGGCCCCCTGTTCTCTTCAGGAGCACAGACCCGGAGCCAGGGTGTGGGAACTGGGGGAGAGAGCCCTGATCAGCCTCTGCATGCAAGTCGAGGGACAGGCTGGTCCTGCGGGTGAGGGGCTCACAGCTGCCCGGTCACGGCTTTCCCTGGAGGGGCCGGCCAGCAGGCAGCAGCAGCGGGAGTGTGGGCTCTGCTGGCTCCCAGGACTCGACGGACAAGCAGCCACAGTCAGATCAGGGCCCATCCAGGGGCCCCGTAGAGGACACTTGGCCCAGGGGGTGGGGGGCTTGGACAGCTCTGGGATCCCCAACACCTTTGTTGACCCCCAACTCTTAGTCACTGTTCCTTCTCCTCCTGCAGGGTGGGACCCTTGGGACATGGGCTGTTTCTGGACTCTTTCTTCCCCAAGGGCATGGGGACGCTTGGAAAGAGCAGAGGGAAACTGAGGACAGAGCCCCGGGTGGGGAGAGGGCAGCCCTAGCTGTCCACCCTTCCCCCCATCAGCTTGATAGTAAAAGGTTCCAAGGCCGATGGGAGCTGAGGTCTCTGTCTGCAAACAGCACACCTGGGGCTTCTCTGCCATCCAGCCGGGGCCCAGGAGTCTGTGGCTCTCAGCAGAATCGCCTCAGTGGCTCCCCCCCTACCCCCAGGGACTTCCCGCCTGGTGCCCCCTGCTCTGCCCCCTGTCCCCCGCCAGGTTCCGGGAAGCCCAGGGGAACTGAGAGGATGCAGTGCAGCCTCCGGTTCTGGGAAGGCCTGAGTCCAGCATTGCACAGTCCTCATCCCCAGCCTGGCTTCAATCCACACAGGTCCCCATCTTCACTCCTCTTCTGGTCTCCCGGGACCCCTCTGGGAGAAGCTCCCCCCACCATACAGTTAAGTGGCTTCAGACCAAGCAGGCTTCCACGGAGGCTCTGGTCTTGTGGATGGGTCCCTCCAGGATCTGGCAGGATCACGGCACATGCTGTAGCCTGCGAGGATGGGGACAGAGATGAAGAGGGCGGTCCTCCTGCTCACCACCCACAGCTCCTGGGCCAGCCCAGCCCCTCTGCCTCTGCCCTCCGCTTGTGTTGGCTCAGCCCCAGAAGGCTACGCTGAGCTGTCGCCGCCTGCCCACCCGCCTCCCTCACCTGGGTGCTGTACGGTCCTCCTGACTGGACACAGGCGAGGACACACCGTCTGGGGACCGAGGGCATTCGGGCACTTTGGAAAGGGTGTCAAACCCCCCAGCGCTCTGTCCTCGGGGGTCCAGGAGGGTGGGCTCTACTCACTTCCCATGTGTCTCTTCTTCCAGAACCCATAGACCACGATCAGCATCACAGGCACTGGGAGCAAGGCCAGCACCGCCACGAGCACAGCAGGATAGAAGTCCTGGTGCCTGCAGAGACAGGACGGAGTGCGGAGGAGGTGAGTACCAGGGTGCCCCACCCTGGCCCACGTCTTTCTGCGCACCACGGGAGAGGAGTGGGGCCAGGGGAAACCTGCCAGTCCCTGTGGGGAATGATGGCCTCTCTTCCTTGGGGACCCAGCTGTGGGAGAAGGAAGTGAGGTGCTCAGAGGTCAGGGGATGAAGCCCCCTGCCCCCAGCGAAGGGAAGCATCTCTCCACTTTAGTACCTCTCCTCCATTATTCCCCCAAATGTGCTGAGGACAAGGGCTCTATTCCCCCATTTGTGACAGAAGAGACCAACGTTCTTACTCTCCTCGTGGTGACTGAGGATGGCACTTCCCACCTTTGTCCTCTGGAACAGATGCTATAGGTGCCCTGCCTATATTCCCTTGCTGTATCACTTCCATGTACACCAGTCCTCAGCAGCTCCATTTAAAAATTTGGGGGCCTGAGGGCTTTCTCTTGTCACTGGCGCTCTCCATGCCACACATGGCAGGCAGCCCTCTACCAATAACCAACAGACTGGGTGTATAAATACCCCAGCTCCCTTGCCCTCCAGGTGGCTGCTAGACACTGGACCCTAAAGTCTCCCCAATGGGACTGAGCTCTTGCTGCCCACAGTGATAACCAGCCTCAGTAAGTTCTCTATCTGCTGCCTTCCCTTCCCTGTCTCACTTCCCCATGCTCTTTCCAGTGTTCCAAATACAATGTGAATCCTGGTCTCAGAGTCCACTCCTCAGGGAACCCAAATTAAAGTGTCCCCATTTCCCACTTCCTACTGCCCAGGCTGCTCCCCTTGTCTGGTCCCTACCCTCTCCTCTTCATCCACAGACTCTAATGCTGACCCAGCCGCTGCCCTCCTTTCCCGCTGCCATCATTTCTGTCCCATGTCCATCCCAGCTTCCCTCTCCCACCTCCCATTCAGCAGCAGGCCAAACTGAGTTCCCGGTGGGCGAAAGGGGCTGGTCTGCTGCAACATTTCACCTTGGCGTCTGTTCAGGCACCAAGAACTGTTGCCATGTCTGGGAAAATGGCATTCAACCCAGGCCCCCCGGGTACCTGCTGGGGGATAATAGGTTGAGGAGAGACCTGCCAGTGGGGCACATTCCCGTGGTGGGCGATCCCATGGTGCACAGGTGCCCAGCCTTAGTGGGGGTGGAGGCTGGGCCAGCAGCAGAGGCTCCGGCATTGCTGGGAGACGCAGTCACTGTCTGGGACCCCATGGTCCTACTGGGCCCCGTGGTGGAGGGGCTGGTGCCAGTGAAGCCGTAGCCCGTCACAGAGGTCAGTCTGATGCTCCCTGAGGCAGGGAAGGGCAAGAGTCTAGCCAAGGTGAGGAGTCCAGGTGTGAACACCGTCATGCTGGTGGTGAAAGGGGCATCAGGGCCTGAGGTGAGGGCTGGGCCTGCTGTGACGACAGTTCCACTCTGGAGGATGGTGGGCAGCTTCGTAAGAGGAGTGTTTCTCTTGGTTGTGGAGGCTGAGGGACCAGAGAGGGAGGAAGGTGAGACTGAGTCGGGGGCCTTGGTGCTGGAAGCAGCTCCCGGCAGCCCACACACTTGTCTGGGTAGGACCTGTCCTTGTGTTGCTCCTTGACCTTGGACCTAGGATTCTGCTGTGCTGAGGGACCAGGTGTGTGCTTGTTTGGAGGGTGAGGCCAGGGAGGAGGAAGTAGGCACAGGAAAGAAGGAAGAGTCTTTCACAAAACTTTCAGGGTCCCCTGTCAGGCCACCTGGGCCAAGAGGACACTTCCCTCCCCACCCCCATCTCTCTTGTCACTTCATGGACCTTCCTCATTCCTGTAAGTCAGAGATTTCTCTGCTCTGATGTTGAACGTGAACTTTCGCAGTTGCTCCATGATTGGCGACTGGGATCCAGAGATGAAGACAAGGAAGCATCAAAGGCCCAGATCCCAAAGAACGCCATGAGCAGCGGGGCCCGCTGCCTTCCTTGGGGGCTTATTAAGAGACACAGGAGCTGGTCCTGCCACCTTCATGCATCAGTTCAGGCCTTTATCATCCCATTTTCTAGAAGAAGGTTGGACTTTGGATGGTGGAAGAGGAGGGAGTGGTAGGAGCTGTGAGGGCTCAGTCTAGAAGGCAGTGTTGACTCTTTCTCGTCAGGGAACAGGAAAATAAAGAGAGAGGGATGGTGAGGGGGAGAGGGCTGCTGCTGGCTGCTGCTGCATCCCGCTACTATGCATGCAAGGATGCACTCCTGAGGGCCAGATGGTCACCGTGGAAGGTGCCCATTTTTCTGGGCAAGGGAACCAGAACAAGTGGCACTGGTGCGGGTGGGGATGGGGGAAGGGGCTGATCTGGAGCCAGATCTCCCACATCATCCTACTCAGCAGTGTGAAGAGACCCCCAAAGGACCTTTCAAAGAACTCAAACACAGGTGCCTTAGGAGAGCCGGCATTTATTTGGCCACAGAGGATCTAAGAGTGGGCAGAAAAGGAGTGACATGCAACAGAGAGAGACCTCCTACAAGGGTCAGTGAAGTCACACAACCATTTCCCTCTGCTTCATCCCTGCCTCAGTATACCAAGGGGTTGGGAGGGGCAGGGCCAGGAGGAGGTGATGGAGAGGGGTACCCCTTCCCTACCTCCTGAGATCAAGGAGGGGGAGCTGGACAGCAGCAGTCCCCCTTCTCAGCTTCAAGTGCCTGGGGCCATAAACCTGGTTTTCAAGGGGGACTGGAAGAGCATATATTGCTAAAAGATTCACCTTTTTAATTGCCTGTGCATTTTTTATTTCCTAATAATTGAAAAGGTCTGCAAAGTTGGAATCTCCCCAAACTGTGGTTAAGAGATGGAAAGTGAGATCTGACATAGTACAAGAGAGGGATACACTGAGGGAAAACTAAAACCGTTTCATGTTTGTATCCCTACAAATTAAGACTTCAGTAAATTGGTTTTGACTGCTTCCCTAGGGCTAAATCAGAACCGGAGAGGGAAGGAATGAGATTTGCTCCATATCTTAGAGATAGCAGTTACCCTAGCTCAGACCCAACAGAAGATGGGGATGCAGTCGGGTTAGGGGAACAGGGAAGGGTGGATAATAAGTTTCACAGTCACTGGCTGCTCTTTGTCTGGCTCCTCACCCTTTCCCATCTTATAAATGTGGAAGGAGCACAGGGCTACATTCTTGGCCCTCCTCTCTTTTTCTACACTCAAGGGAAAGTTTTGATAACCTTAAAGACAAGGCACAATATCACCTCCTCTAAACTCTCCCATAGCTTCCTATTCTACCTAGGATAAAACTCAAACCCCAGATCATGGGCTTTAGGGCTGCTGTTTGCCTGTCCAACCTCATCTTCTATCACTCTGCCCCACACTCAATATGGACCAGCTTCTTCTCACCTCAGGGACTTTGCACATGCAGTTCTGCCCACCTGGGAAGCCCTTTGAATCACCCACTTTCAACAGGGCTAGAAAGCTCTCATCACATGCAGGCTTTGCTTGATGTCATCTGCTCAGGGAGGTCTTCTCTGATTCCCCACTAATTCAGTAGCTCCCCCCACCACTGAACTTTCTAGTTCATCACATTGTTTTATTTTCTTAAGAACATTTATTGTTATCTGCAACTGTTTATCTGACAGTGTGCTATTGCCTGTCACCTCCCATAGGGTCTGGTTTTGCTCACCACTGTATCCTCAGAGCCTAGAATAGTGCCTGGCACAGAATCAGGGCTCAGTGAATATATATGGAACAGATGATTGAATAAAACAAGCACAGAGAGTCCTGAGTTCTAATCTCATCTCGTCCACTTGCTAGTTCTGTGACCCCGGACAAAGTCAGAGCTGCAAGGACTTTTTAGATCTCATTTCCTTCATCTGTAAAAGGGTGACAAGAATGCCCATGAAGCTGTCTGTAAAGGAATTGTGAAAACCCCACTGTACATCATGCCTATTGATGGATTATTATTATTGTTATATTTGATGTCAGTGGAGTTCAGGGCGGGGAGGACACCCCCCCAGCATCCCAGTGCCCCAGCAGGCCTGCTCACCTGGAGACACTTCCAGCAGGAAGCCCATCAGAGGGTAGAGGATGCCAGAGCTGTTGCGCATGCACCAGTACCGGCCCGAGTCCTGGCGCCTCAGGGCCGCCATGGTGATACTGACCACCTTGGCCTGGGTATCGTCCTGCAGCAAATAGCGCGGCCCCTGCACCCCAACACGGGTGAACACAGTCTCACACTTCTTCCTCCTGATTTTGCACCAAACCTTACCCTCTGTGTGGTTTTTGCGGCTCTTGTAGGAGCACTGCACAGACAGAGTCTCCCCTTCAAAGTGCCGCACTTTGGAGTACACGCTCTCGACAGGGGCACCTGGGGAGACACGACTTGTTGAGAAAGGAGGAAGGAAGCATCTTGAAACTTAAAGCTCATGGTGAAGGGAGAGGAGGTGGATATTGCTCTGCTGTCATGGAACTCAAGAGCGTGAAGAAGAAATACAGCCCAACTCCGATGGAGGGGGACACAGGCTCCTCCCCCAGGGAGCTCTTGGTCTGTTGGAGGAGACACTAGCCCTGCCCTGTAGTTCCCAGACTGATGGGGGAGACAGTAGTCCTGTGCCCTTGGGGAATCCTAAAACGATGAGGAAGACGCAGGGCTAGCGCTACGGGGACTCCCAGTCTGATGGTGGAGACACAGGCCTAGCCCACAGGGAGCCCCTAGTCTAATGAAGGAAACTCAGCCCTTACACTCAGGGAACTTCAGCAGACGCAGCCGTTTTCTTTGCGGCATTTTCTAGTCTGATGGGAGAGTAATAAGCCCTGTCTTCAGGGTCTTGTG